CCAAATGTGTCAGCTTGTCCTTGCAATGCATGCTCCACATTCTCAAGGGTACTACATCGATGTTTTAAAAATGCAGATAAAGATTTTCACTATGGTAACTCGTTTATTGATCAACTTTCTTCCCATTTTGAGTTAAAAGTTTTACCACCATGCAGTCCGTTATTTGCTCTTTGGAACCAAGTGACTGCAACGCCCTGTTTTGGGAATGTATCTTATCCGTCAAAGCTCGCAGCTTGTCGACGGTAATCATCTGCTTTGTCCATCCCGAAAATCTCCCTGATATGTAAAAAATAAGACGTTTATTATCGACACGTTTAATAAGGAGGTCTAATACGATATTATAATTAGCCTCATTCATTTCCAACGATCGTATACTTAGGTCGCTGCCTTATAGATGACTGATATTTGTTCCACTGAATTTAGGCCACATTAATTGTGGCAAGCGTGAACGTTTAGTATTCACTATAATAGACTGAAATTGATTTACGATGAAAAATATGCTTTCCAATTTCACGTAGTACAGTAGTCTTCAATTGAACCAAATCGGATTAGTAAATCGCTACCAATAGATTCAAAGTGTCTGCAGCCAAGAAGTTTGATTTCAGTTCGTTTACTGTACCAATTATTGCCGCCAAAGCATATTCGTCCATGTTTTGCAACCGCTCTGACTACATATCTGCACTTATACATTCAAGGCGCTTAAACATAGCATGTGTCCTCAACTTCAAAAAAGTCACCCTGCCCATAGGTGAATGCTGATTCATACTCTCATTTGCATTAATTTCTCCAGCTGGAATACCACTGATATGATTTAACGATACATCCAAAAAATTTAACCAATTAAAAATTGAACGAGATTAGGTGATCAACGAGGTAACGTATATCTGAACCATACTGAACCGTTGCAAAAACTAGCGGCACCCGACATACGGCGCTTACGGTCTTAAGTTAGAAGACGGCGAAATATTTTTGCTTAAATTTACAAGTTCACCGTAATAGTGCTTTTTAGAAATCACGCCACTATTGTGCCACAAATCAAATTGGTAATGAACGACGTGTTTAATTTATCGATTGTTCACTGTAAAATATGCGTTATAAACAACAACGATATATATTTTTAATAAGATTTATTGATATAAGTATATATGTATAATACAACCAGTGGTGGTTTACCAGGTGAATATGAAATGTTGGCGGTATATGTGTGCGTATAAATTTAGTTAAATTAAGTATAAATAATAAATTGATGATACAATTTATTGGTAGTTCTATCGCGAAAGGAGCTGCCCCGAGCAGTCATTATAAGTTAATTTTTCTACACCATCATTGTAGTAAAGAATTCCTGTTTTTAAATCTATTTTTGTGTCAATGTCCCTTAAAAAATTAAACGCTATAATCCTTTTAAAGGTGTTTAATTCGGAAGGAAGATAAAAAAGAGCAGTCTTTCCGAACACGTTTATTAAAAATATTTTATTTATCTAGGCAGTACCATACATGCATTTARTTTTACTCCTTTTAAACTTTTGCTGGGTTCAATAAAAGTTTTTCCCGCCCCTAAACGAAATAATTGCTATGATTTGAGGGCACGCRCCTGGAATATTCGGTCCCTTAATTGGGAAGGTGCCGTTGCCTAGCTGCTTGATGTCCTCGTTAGAATGAAGGCTGACATCACCGCCGTCCAAGAAATGCGATGAACGGGACAAGCACTGAAGCGAGTTGGTCCTTCTTTCATTTACTACAGTGGCCATATAAAGGAGCGCAAATTCGGTGTGSGATTCGTGGTGGGAGAGAAACAACGTCGCCGAGTACAGTCTAGTTACAAGTTGCGGCGGCTAACAGAAGATTTCAAGCCTTGAGCATACGTTGAAGAACCGTTCAAGGTGGTCTAGTGATCGCTGTCCAGAGCATACCTAAATTATATAGGGAACACTTCTCCAGCCTGCTGAATGACAGTGAACGTACCACATCAGGAGAAGGCGAACCCGATTCCACAATGCATGACGATGGAGCAGACGATACATCGCCCTACCATGAAGAAGTTCGAATAGGAATTGCCTGTCTCAAGAACAACAAAGCGGCGGGGCCCGATGGTTTGTTAGGCTAGCTATTCAGACACGGCGGCGAAGAACTGATAAGGAGCACACATCTTTGTAAGATATGGTTGGAGGAACGCATGCCCAAAGATTGGAATTTAAGTGTGCTCTGCCCAATCAGACCCAACAATCTGTTCTATCAAGCGTATTGTGCCATTAAAGTCGCCAAGCACATCGCCCTTCTCTTCGTCGGAGCGTGGGCGTAAATCAGCGACATGTTGAAAAACCTCGATTTGATGCGGATTTTAGCTAGACGTTCATYCACCGGGGTGAATGACTCGGCGACGGAGTCTCCCTCCCACAGGTTAGGTCTAAACGGTCCCCACGTTTTGATGGTTTGAACGGAGAGATGTGTAAAAGCTTGTGGAATTTACAATAAGTTCGTCTGGTAGGTATACTTTCCACGTGAGTGATAATATCAGTAGCGAYCGTCGATCTTATCGGTGCATCAGTCTCCCTCCAGTACTTGGAAAAGTGCTTGAAATAGTCATGGTGGAAMGGCTTCAGGAGCTAACGCGGGGTATGTGGTCGGATAAGCAGTTTGGGTTCAGGACAGAACGCAGTATAGAGGATACATGGTTTTATGTTCAGAATGTCGTTAGGGAGAACGTCAAGAAATATGTCCGGAGATTACTCTTTGGCGAATGGGAGTGTAGAGATTAGATTTGTTCGTGGCCTGCAGGGTTCCATYTGTGGTCCATATATTTGAACCCTTATGATGGCCACTCTGTTTGGGCAGTTCGAGTCACTCTGTGTTGTGCGTATGCGGACGATCTTCTTCTTATGGTCGAAGGTCGCTCGCTGTYTGAACTAGAGCGGGCGGGAGGAGATCTCTTATAGATCGTGATCGTTGGGGAATAGGTGTGAGATATCGAGAGAAAAAACGGTGGAAATACACGCATTTTGAGGAGTGATTGGGGCTTGTTTGTGGCCTGTGCCACGTATGGAGCCTCTGTATGATGGAAGGCAGCCACGACTGCCTTGAGATCTCAAAAATCCTCTCAATTCAGCGTTGTATTATGGTTGCTTGTTTGCCTATATGTCTCACCGTCTCAGCGGATGCAATGCAGGTTTTGTTAGGAGCACACCTCTTGACCTGATTGTCATATAGCGAGCTGTTGCGTTCAGGTTAAGAAGGGGTTTGAGAGTGTCATTGCTGCGGAATGACTGGATTTCCGACAGTGATGTGGAGAGAGAGGGATATCTAGGAAGCACGAGGCTTCTAAATGATAGAGTTAGGTCTGGGTGGCAAGAACGGCCGAATGACGTACGAGTACATTCGGCACGCTGGGTTCGTTGAGGATAACCCAGACTTCAGATTTTGTCAGAGTCTGGATTTTCTGCTTTCGTGGCATGGGCTTCTGAATGAATCTTTGCATCAGAGGCATCTATCGGATAGGCCGCGATGTTTTTGTGGGACGGGGGTAGAAAATTAGTCGCATTTAATTGCAGAATGCAAGATGTACTTGGACATTAGAGATCTGATCTAATTCTGGTACCACGGGAAGCAGAAGCCCTTGAAGTTTACTCCAAATTGCTCGTGCGGACTGGCCCCTCGAGGAGTATCGTGGTGGTTGTGGTTAAAACCCGAATGCGGAAAGAACTGACTTTGCCAGTTGAATGTGGCCATTGCAACCGGACCTAAAGCWCGCCGGGCGTCGAAACCCGACCAAGGTGGTTAGTGCGTCTATTCCACAATGCCAATTAGTACTGAAAATACTTAGCATTCTCAGGGCGCTGATTTGATCTGCGGTGCTTTTGAGCGCCATGGGGTAAGGCTARACACACCGGACGTTACCCAGAGGATACTTGGTCAAAGAAAAGAAGTCGTAACTGCGTGAGCCATATGTAAAAGAATCGTTTCTGCCCACTCCCAAGTRAATAGCGATCAGAGAGCTTTCCTCAGTTGCGTGAACTTCTACACATGACTCCATTTTCCTTTGTGCGAATAGTGCGTAAAAATTCCGTACATCGAACTAAAACTGTTCAAGCGCTTAGGTMCCCTTATATGTGGACTCAGTGCTTATAATGAACTTTTTACCGAAAATATCGGTCAACGTGTGAGAAAAATAATTGAAATTTAGAGATAATGCCTTCCTTAATGTAGTATGTCTGTAAGCTAGAAAATGGTTGAATTCGGTCAATAACTCTTTTAGCCCACTATGTGCTTGTTTAAATAAGTTAAGCATCCACGAGTTTACTTTCGATTCCACATTGTATCATATCGACACCAACAACTTTCGCATCTATACATCGATCGACTACAATTCTGCGCGCTGGCTTATCTCTGTGCTGTGCTCTCAATAAAATGTGTAGTAATTTATTCACTGCTTATTGAACTGAACTTTTCATAATTCTTGTGCAATAAACATCGAAGAGTAAGCTTTTCGTTAAGAACGCATTTTAAATGATTTTAACTTTGTGCTGAAGCAACCCATGAAAGCCTGCATTTAAATATAATATTAAGGACACCATATTTGTGTACTGTGGACATTTCAAAACGTCAATTCAAAAGTTTTATTTTACTCAAAAATTATATTCATAATAGTAGATTGTAACGACTGTTTATGTTCGAAACACTTCTCACTGTTCTTTAATTTTATTTTATTGTTTCCCAATTGTAGCTTCGAGATTTCACTCCATGAACTAAGCAATTTTTTAACATATCTATGGATTTTTGCGGCAACTCTGCAGACACCCTGAAGATAGCAAGCAGAGAAATGACTAATCGACAATAATCGACAACTATAATTAAAAACTTTGCGTTACTTGGTATTGATTGAAATGTTTAGGCATTTCAATTCAAAATTGATTTTAATTTCTCACTACTTGCATTAAAGGCATTCGATCTATGAATAAGCCAATACGTTGAAAAAGATTTATATTTTATAGTATTTCATATATACATGCACTTTATTTTATATACAATGACGTTCAACAATTATTAAATATTTACATTTAAAAAATGGAATTAGTATTACATTTTGTGATAGATTCACAATGTACTGGCTTCGGTATTCGGAATGTTATTAAGCCCAACATCTGGATTGTTCCAATAATAGTTAGGCGGTCCTTGACTGAAGCAATATTTCATATTAAGAGGTTCATCGTTTTCAACGTAATACATCAAATAAAAATTACACATTTCATCCTCATTTGTAGCTCTAAAAACAGAAATTATTACAACAGTGTTATGTTAAAATTGTTTTGCCTTTTTACCCAATTTCTGTAATTCTCTTCCGATGGCTAATCATTGTACACCTTGCAGCAAGATAATCACCGACTAATATAGGATCGCTGTTTTCAACTGGGTAAAACATTTGTGGTGTTAAGGGATCTCTTTTGCCTAAGAGTGTCCAGTGATGGCTACCATGTTCGTCAGTCCGGACTCTATATCCAGATACTACTTTCCCAAGGCTATGTGTGTGAGTACGATAAGCTATTGGGTGTATTGTTTTATTTTCATTTATTTCACAAGCTGTCTCCATGTGTTCAATTGAATTTGGTGGAATAAGACCTGCTGTCCCCAGAAGCAGTACTCCGGCCAGCTTTTTCAAACTGTATAACAAATACACATATATTTACAAACATTATTCATACACATACAAAGTAGGAATGTTAAATTTAAATATTTAAATGATAACTTGAATTCGTTTGGGGTAGATATTATCCTTAGTATTTCTATAAATTCTCTTACAAAGTGTACAGTTAATAGTTCTCCTTATGATTATTTGTATCAGAAATGGAGTTATATGTAGTTGTAAACCTTTCAACATCTTGTGTGAAATAACACCCACCGAAACAAAAAAAGCCGCTGAATCTTTTAATAACCTCTAAAATTTTATTTTAAAGTTTGTTTGCAGTTTATGTTAATAATGTTTACATGAAAAGAAAAAGTACAGCATTTCACGAAAAAACCATCAAAACATAGTATTGAATTCAGTCCCTTCAAAAGTTATGATCTTTTTTCAAACTTATATAATGACGACATTAATATTGTACTAAAATATATTTTATATTATAATTTTTTGTAGCAATATTTCATTTTAAATTGGTAAAAAAAATCGTTTCATATCACTTTTTTAAGGGCCTATACAGGTGTGACACTTTAATTTTTTTTTTCGCTTTTTCGATAGTTTATATTGCTAAAAATATTATGTGATATCGTATCTTGAATAATTTTTGGATGGCAGCGTTTTAAAGAGCGACCGCTCGCAAGTACAAACATATATAAGTGAAACTTTAAACGCGTTTTTCTTGAAACAATATTTTCAAAATTGCTGGCATCATTACATAAGAAATTTTAACCGATCGACTTCAAATTAAAACTGAGTATTGTTAAATGCGATATTTTTCATTGGTTGAAAATTGTCTATTTGGCATTTAAAAAAACGACAATTCTTTACCTAAAAAACGAAATTTTTTCAAAATAACGCCATTTTGTCAATTATTGATATTTTTCAAAAATTGTAGGTCATTGTATTAGAAATATCTTACAGTTTAATAAAGTTTATTAATTTTTTGTCAGCAGTTGGGGCACTTTACATAACACCGTTATTTTTCAATATTTTTGTAAAAAAACAATTCTTAAAATACAGGTGAAAATATACCTTATTACGTCCAAACAAGTTAAAAATATTCAATCGAGTACTTTCTTTTAAAAAAAACTTACGAAAATCGTCTAATTTTTCATGCGTTACACTGGTATAGCCCCTTAACTTGTGGTACCACCTTGAGCGTTTGTGACACTTTTAACTCTTTTTTAGATAGAGCGTATATGAATCACACTTTTTCTATTGTTTCCCTCAATTTAACTATTGTTTGGGGTTTACTTTTTCACATTTTAGTGTTTATTATAATGTTATGTTCTCTTTTGGATCGAGATCCAGACGCTTAAGGGCCAATCCAATGAAGTAATACCCAGATATTTCTTTAATTTTCCAATCTCAAATGTCAAAATTAAAAAATTCATATAAAATAACAATAGAAAAAGTTTATTTTTAATTTAAGCCGTTTTTTTCATTTCTCTGATCACGAAAGGCTTTTTTAAGGTTTGCGATTTTCAAGTTAAAATATCTTTAGTAAATGATTTGTGAAACTCTGCTTTAATCTCGGCTGCGTCTTGATTCTTCTTTCTGATGTTTTGTTCTTCTCTATTTTACAAGTTTTACGACACTTTTCTACAAAAAGTCACACTGAGCATTCGTTAAAATGAGTTTGTGCTATTATTTGACGAATACACCTTATTTGATGAGCCAACGATATCTTTTATAACTTTTTGTAACAAAGAAAGCTGCGTTTGCTCAGGCATGATTTTGTTTTCTTCAAAAGGAAACACGGATTATAAGTATACAATGGAATACTTTTGAAATTAAATAAAATGTATAGAAAAATGTCAAAAAAATTTCCATAGTAAAACCATCGCCCACTAAATGAGAATTCGGGGAAAATCAAATACCGTTTACAATGAATTTGTAAAAAAAAACAACACTCGCTGCGGCTTTCTTTCTTTCGTTGGGTACAGTTAAAATCTGATAACAACCCCACCCTACTAACTTCTAAGCCACTACAAACAATATAACTCTTAACTAAACATGTCAGGAATCATATTCATAGGAGTTAATATAAAAATTAAACAATCTCAGAAATTCATTGATCAATTTCTACCAAATTCGGTAAACTCGGACAACAACCACGCCTACTTCCCATAGGTATAACTTGTCAAGCCAACATATATTTCTTGACGGAAATGAGTGCCGAATAATCATAAGATTGTATGACAATCCTCACAAGTCAATAAGTGAAATAAAGTTGGAGTCTGTAGTTTATTTATCACATGAAGCAGTACGGCAAGTGGTTCTTGAAAAAAATGTTCGCCAAGAACTGCTGGACAAATATTTCCCTATCAAATATGAATATAGAAAAGCAACCGTCGTATACCACAAATCATATTTCACATACGGATGTATTTAGGGGATAATAGGATATGTCATCAAACTTAAGCAACCTTTAACAAAAAAAAAAATGTATACCAACGGTAAAGTTCGGCCGTTTGTTGATGGTATGAGTCTGTTTTTCATGCAAAACTCCGATAGACATTCAGTGAATCAATAAAGTTTTCATTCACCTAGTTCTATTAAATTACGACACGTTTATTTGTTTTAAAATTAATAAATTTTGTGTTTTTCTATCCATTTCAAAAGATATATATTTAACATTAAAAATATAAAAATATATTATTTTAACGTTTGGCCGGTCGGAAGGAATTCGGAGTTAACCACACCTTAATAATCGAAGAAAACTGTCAACATAACCTTAATTTTTGACATACTATACTTTGACTTGGTTTTCTCGACTTCGGCTCACCCATCCTACGATATTTCCGGCTTGTAAGAATAGATCCAAAATGTATCGCCAGTAATAATACGTTTCATCCTGGTAGAAAAAGAATTTATTTTAGAACCAGTCGTTTTCACTGATCCTTTCTATATTCCAACAATGCCTGTAAGATCTCTAACTGTAAATCGTGTATTATCAAGCACTAATTCCTTTATTCTATTGACGTGTTGATCATCAGTTGATGTTGACGGCCATCCTGGTCGTGGTTTGTCGTCAATTCGATCTCGACAGTTATCACCGAAGACTTTTTCCAACATTCTGAACGTTTCAACACCATATAGTAAATTTAATTCCGAACATAAAATTTAATGAAACTACTAAGTTGAACAATTTCACTAATCTTAAAAATCACTGAATGTACTTTATGAAATACAAGAGTATACTAAACACTAATGATTATTTTGATGTGATATTTGACACAGAAAAATCATATGAACAAACCAATAAAAAAAAATACTACGACGAATACATAGGTTTTAAATTTAAAATAAAAATTCTTACTAACTAATTCTAATTTACACGAGGTCTTTACCGAAAGCAATGAGTCTTTACCGAAAGCGAAACTTGAAAATGGATGCAATGTTATTTTATTATATACTTATATGAAGACAACCAGTACTCACGGTTTTAATGTGTAATCAATGAATACGCCAGAATCGTCAGTGCTGCCATCTGGAAAATATAGATAAACATACAAGAACTTAAGGCAAATTAGCCACATAAGAGTTCAACATTTTAAGCGGGTTAGTAATAATATATTGTTTGGCTGATTTCGATCATTGGAAAATTTTTGTGTTAATGTAAATATAAAAGAAGTATAGTATGGATATCTAACAAGGAAGGAAGGGTTAAGCTCTGGGGCATTCGCCTACCGGTCTAATCAAGTTTTCACCCGCTTTTATCCATTTTATCCATTTTAAGCACAAATATACATATTTATTAGAAAAACATGCTCCTTCAAAAATTACATATGCCGTGTGCGCAACAAATTTATCACAAACAACGTTGAGCCGAAAGGGCAGACACGTGAGGCCAGACGACTTTGTCGGACGCATGCAATTTTAAATAGTAAGACGTTCTTTGCATTTTGTTTGCTTCGGGAAAAATAAGTAGTCTATTTTATTTTAACGTAATTACTTTTAGAAATATTCTCTTCAATATTGATGTTTAATGCACTTTGTTATTTATTTAAGCAACTACATACCCTAACCTAATAATCAATAATTTTTTTCTTGGCTGTTATAATTATTATTAAACAACAAAATTATGTATAACTATTTTATACGAAGTTGGGACTTGTTTCATTAGAAATAACGGTACTATGTATACATTGCCAGTATGAATTGTTTAAATGCTAAATCTTAAAGTAATTACATGAAAATATGTACAGTTCATCTCCTTTTTGCACCTTGTTTTTTTTTTTTTTGTTTGCAAAGATTTGTTCCAAGTTTATTTTACACCTCCTATTAAGTTTTTTTACACGGTTTTCCTTTTTTGCACGTCTTTTTCATTTTAATTAAGTACTTTTTTTTTGGCAAAAAAGTCTAAATTCCATACGTAGTAAATATAGGTTCATTTTAAAATATGTAATCGTAATACGAGTTTGAAACTAGCGACCGAAATAGAAGTTCATTCCCTCAACTTGGACCGAAATTTTAAACTTCTTACTGTTATTTTAACATTCCCACAATATTTTTATATTGGGCCTTTTAAGAGTAATACACATGTTCAGCTGCGAGCAGTGAAATATAGTGGGTGTTAGAGTTTTACATACCTCTGAGTTATGCAAAATTCTAAACAATTTTAACATCAATTGAAACGGAAAAGTTTATCATATTTCCTTGGGTAAGTTTATTAATAAAAAGATTTTAATTTGGATGGGTGTAAGATATATTTATTCACAAAGTTGTGTTTATATATGAAATTTGATGGGAGCAGTAAAATAGTAGTAAAGTAATACATTTTTTTTTAAACTGAAGGATTTTTGGAAGTTCCGTCTATACGAGATATTAGTAATTGGTAGTATGTCCATGATTTTTAATAACAGCAATACAACGCCTCTTCATAGAATATACGAGACTCTGGCATCTTTTTAGTGGTATGTTCTGCCATGCTTGCTGCACTATGGTCCTCAACTCATTGTTGTGTTTGGGTTTGTCATTCCATACGGCTTTCTTAACGTCTGTCCAAGGGTTTTCAGTAGGATAGACGCCAGGCGATTGAGCTGACCTATCCATGACATCAATTCCATTGACCCGAAACCACTCCTTTGCCACCCTATTGGTATGCTTCGGGTCATTATTCTGCTGAAATACCCTTTTCAGCGGGATGTCCTCTTCAGCAAATGGTATCATAATATACTGCATTATATCCACGAATTTATGTCGGTCCGTTATGCTAGTAATCTTGTGAATTGGGACTACACAAAAAAATTGGGCCTGTAAGAAAAACACCCCAAACCATGAAATTCAAACCGCCAAGCTCCATAGTTTTTGTGCTGAATCTGGGGTCGTACTCTCTATTAGGGGAGCGTCTTAAATACTGACGGGAGCCTTTACCACCGTATAGAATAACTTTCGACACGTCTGTCTAAAAGATGTTGCGCCATTTCTCAATCCTTTGCCAAATTTAAGACGACTTGCTGTATGATTTTTTTTAATAACGGTACTTCTCGAGGACTGCGGACATATAAATTATGTTCATGTAGAAGTCTTCTCACTGTATGAACACCGCAGGCCAGGTTCAGTTCATTCCGAATCTCCATAGCTGACATTCTAGGTCGAGTCTTGGCACTTCTTACAACTATTGGTGTAAAATTCTCGGAAAGAATCCATATTGCGCCCCTTTTTTCGTCTTTTTTTTTATAAATAATTGCATTGTGAGTCGTTGTGGCTTAACACCCTACAATTCTTTTCACTGCCTTGTAGGATTTACCGTTGTTTATGAGAGACTGAATCCATTTTCGTTTCTCTTCCCTGCAGTGCTTCCCGCGGCCCACTAAAATATGCACAGTCATATTTTTTAGGTTTTTTCATTAGATAATTAATAAAATAACAAGAAATTTACTTTTTGATTGATAAAATTAAATATTTTTAGTAAAAATAATCTGTGTCCAATCAGCTCACCGTTCACTACTATTTTAATGCTCGCTCATAAAGACAGATATCACAATATAATTAGCTGTAAAAAAGTAACGTAACGTAAGTAAAAAAGTAAGTGTTTCGCACTTATTGTTGTGTATAACAGGTTCGTTCCACTACAGAGAATATAACTAGAATAATAATCAACTTTAATACCATAAAAGAAACAAAATTTAAAGTGAAACTATTTTTGTCAATAGCCACTACTATTTCAATGCTCGCAACTGTACATATCCGTGCACTGCAGATAGTGAATAACTTAAAGATGATCGCTGCTCTCTACCACGCCGCAGTGCGAAGATCCATACGCGCATTTCCAACGGCACCCATAAAAAATATTCTGGTCGAATCGGGTTTGCCGGCTCTTCACGACAACATGGAAGACAAAATATTCAGGCTCTATTCAAGGCTCACTCTAAGCCCCAATCTTCTTGTCCGCAAGGACTTCCAATCTGCCGCCTCACGGTTGTCCACTCTTAAACAACCCTCTTCAATACACACCTGCTCCTTATTCGCAAATCAGGTTGAACTGCCGATCAAGCAGCACATTCCGCGGTACACTCATCACCCCCCCTGGGCGGCCAGCAAAACATCCTTCATTAATGACCTAGCCTCCTTGCGGAAAGATAGCACACCAAACACCGTTTATAAAGCCAAGTTTTCCGAAACAATCGCACATTATAAATCCAACGGCTCATATGCTGTGGTAACGGAAAATCAAGTAGTTGTCGCGTACGGCCTCCTTTTTTCATTCTGCTCTATTTTCACCGCCGAAGCAACCGCTATATTCTACTCAATACTCTGCCAAAACCAAGGGTAAACATATAATATGCAGCGATAGTATGTCATGTTTCCATGCTATACAAAACCACAACATATCAGGCAGTATCATCAAAAATATAAAAAACACACTTATTTCCCTTCCGCGCAAGATCAAAATGTGGATATCTGGACACTCCGGCATAAAGGTCAACACACTTGCAGATACCATCGCCAAAGATATTTCCATCACACCAACAATCACATCCGAAGTCATCCTACCTAGCGACATATCCCGACAAATTCAAGTTATTACGTGAATGGGCGGATTATAATCACCATTATTCGGACATTAACCCCAACTGAACAAAACCTGTATACACAACATCGATACCTACCAACCATATCAAACCCTACACACGACTCCGAATTGGGCACACCATAATTACCAACGCGCACTTATTACAGATCCAACACCTGTCCCTTCTGTCAAGCAACAGTCAGCGTGCAACACCTCCTGGTATCCTGCCCAGAACTTGCTTCTCAAAGACTTCATCATTTCGACAACAAGGACCCTCTCCTATTATTAATGGACGCCACAGAAGAAAATATTAGCAAAATTTACAAATTTCTAAAGGGCACAGACCTACTCCGTCATATCTGACCCAACCAGCCAGCCGAAAGCCTCTGCTGCTAGCGCTGCGTTTGCTTTAGTTTATATAATAATTAATTATTATGTAAGCTTTGTATAAATAAATAAATAAATAAATTTGCTTACTTCATATTCAATTTTTCGCAAGGAGCTCAAAATTGAGTTTAACTTATTCACTGTATATGTATGTATATAAATTCGTATGGTATGAAAAGAAGTAAGATATTTTGACATTTTTTTTTATACCTAATTATGGCTCGCAAACGTTTTTATTATTACATTTTTCACTGAGACACCTGAAGCTTGTTGGTTGGTAAGGCCAAGTATGTAAGTTAACAAATTAATTTGTCCATTGCACCGTTCTTAGAACTACTCTACTCCAGCAAGTAAGCGCGGGAATAGTTCGCGTCAACGTTTTCCCACCAACTTGCAAATTGTTCGCTACAACAACAGCTTCATATTTCAACGAAGCAATAGCAATTCACCTGTTGTTTACACAACAAGCACCGCCAAATTTTATACGTTACAGCAATAACATCAGGTGCAATAGGGGCAGTAACGTCAAATTGTGAAGAGAGTAGGAAATAGCAAGCAGGGCATCTATTTTTAACTTTTAGTTCTAGTTTGAATTTTAAATAAATCGTATATCGCTCGCTCCTTCTAGAATCCACAATCTTTTAATAAGCACATAGTGAACATAGTTTCTTTCAGAATTTCAGAATTTCTTTCAGTCTTTTAATAAGCACATAGTGCTAAAATCATAATTTGTACGTCACAAAATACCATTATAACTTAAATAAAATACCACTACTTAATAAACAGTCACAATTTTTACGGGTGTATTTTATGGAAGACACTTACGGACGGTATCAAATCAGTCAAGGTGTGCAGCGAACAACTGTTCTTAAAATTCAGCAGGCCTTGCAAGTCCGACCTAGAGAACAAGCCCGATGATAGTTGCCACCCAAAATTTTTAACGGTACATAAATGAGAAGTTACCGGTGTACCGGTATGATGAATAAGGTTTTTTGTAAAAATTAAATATTAATTTTGTGGAAGTAAAACAATATTAATCAAAGCATTGACCATTGCATTTTGCATATTTTGACCATCTTTCTGCCAATTCGTGGATAACATACCAATAGAAATATTAGTATTTTTAAGCAATCAGACACCCAATTTTCGACTCCTGCGTAAAAATGGAAGTACCCCTGACCCAATGCGAGTCCTATCGATGAAAACAAATGGTAATCAGCTACCAGCCAAGTACTTTAATTATATTGTAAGCCGATTTTGCTTTGTGGGAAGGTGCATTGTCAGGTAATCAAAAACATTGCCGTGTCTTCTGGCCCATTCTGGTCGTTTTTCGATTGATGCAAATGAATCATTTGTTGTCTATAGCGATTAGTATTAACCGTAAAACTCTGATGTTCGTGGTTTCAGACGCTCATGATTTACCACACCCTTCTGATCCCACCAAACACAGAGCATTACCTTATTACCGAATCGATCTGTTTTCGCAGTCTATGTTGATGGTTATTCCGGCTTAACTCGTAATTTTCTCCGTTTAGGATTCTTAAAATAAATCAATTTATCATCCCCAAGTGTTTTTTCGGTTTTCTATTTGTCTTTCAGTCAATTCATGTGGCACCCAGTTTGTTGTGCAACATTTAACATCGCTGCAATTTATTTTTGATCATCTTCATCCAATATTGCTTTGCAGTTTAAACTTGTTGGTGGTCTTCCACGTTCATGATTTTTTACATCAAAATCTTTATATCTGAACAGTTGAAATCATCTTTTGAATTATGCTACTAATAGAGCACTATATGACTCGAAAGCATTCAATGCGAATCTGCAGCACTTTTCTTCACATTTAAACAAAAAGAGATCAGGCGATTTTCACCGTGAAAAAGGAGAGAACGCTACCACCGACCCAAAGGATGAGATCCAGACGTATCGGTCAGGTCTATACATATGTAAGTAGTAACAAAGTGGCATAAAAAAGACTCGGTTTACCATTACATAAAAGGCACTGTGACCCATCTTCCGGCTCACCTCCTAAACGGTGAACACGTATATTTTACAGAGATAAGACGAGTTTGATTGGACGTTGTTCCAAAGTTCCGACCAGCAACTACTTTGAAAAAGCTACCGAAACAGGTATAAATTCTCAATTTAATAACAAACCCTGCGAGAGTCTTTTTTCGTGGATGCACCAAAGGGCACCGTCAAAACTTCCTAACTCCGGAATAGCCACAAGAAAAAATTAATAAAATAATATAAGAGGAATATATACATACTGTAGAGCTCTTATATTCCCTCGACCTGTTAGGTCACACAAGCTGAAACTAAAAGTTGACGCACCCAGACTGTGCAACGGCACACGGACTAACTTTAAAAGTAGCCGGTATTCACCTGGACAACCCTTTCTTCTCCGCGGATAACTTTACTTTTTACCTTACTAGAAAACTATAAATATCGCATTGTCATGACATAAGGTGTTGTAAGCACCGTTGTCTTGTTGATATATAAAGCTTTTCTACTCTAAGCCTAGCTGGGATTCTCTCTTTTTGCGGTTTTCCTTCAAAATTGTTAAATAAAAGTGTTTGTTCATTGTAAAATCATTTAATGCACCTTTTCCAACTCCCGGTGTGGTCATACAACCCCATACTAACACGTTTCAACATCCACGTTTAACAGTTGGAGTTAAATTTTTTATATTTAATGCTTTATTGGGGTACATTCTTGCCGCTATCCAAACCAAAAATATTTAATTATTACTCATTCCTCCAGACCACGTAATCCCAAAAACAAGTCAGGCAGTGCTGATCGTATTTACTACTCGCTTTTGTGGAGCATTTTAGAGCGGTGTTGTTTTAATGGAGTGTGACCATCGGCAAAGGAGTGCTAGAGGAGTTCTGCGAAAGCATTCCATCAAAAACTGTTTGGAGAGGAGTGCATTGTGTTCCCTGACCCGAACCATGTAAGCGTTTGACAGGATACAACAGGTGACATTCTTTAATCATAAGAAAGAAAGTGTTCTGACACGTCTTAGGCTTCTTCCCCTGCATTTCTATATACCAAGGCGACAATTATGATGTCGTGTTGTTGTTGACAGGTCGGACGATTTCCTTGTATATTGGAAACATAACATAACATTGTCCTTTCTACAGGAGCTGCCGACTATCATCTTGGGGATTTTGTGTGGCTCCCTTCTTTGGCAATAGTAGTATGCGGTAAGAAGGAGCACAGCCTTTCTTGTGTAACGCCCTCTGATGGTTGGGGGAGTTTGCAAATATAGAGGTGAGTAGCAGGGAAACACTCTAGTTAATTACCTTTAACTTTCAATTTTGTCTACGTACTACGAGTTCAGGCGTCAAAAACCTTTTTGAGTTAATGCGCCAACTCAGCAAACTCTATTTAAATACATATACAAACATTACGGTAAAATTGGACACCGTTATGTTATATACCTAGACAACCGTGTATGATATTGCGCATGTTTTGATTTACTTTTACTAACACTATAAAACTTCGGCTAATAAATTGAAATATCTTACCTTTAAATTTATCAATGTGAGCGTAGTGAACCTGAAGAACAATATATTTGATAGGGGTATTTAGACCAACCTTAAATCCAACACCATTGGGTAAATCCAATTTAGGCGCATCTCGCGCCCATGCATATAAGATCTGTAAATTAACACAAAATACAATAAAAAGTTTCAGTTTTTTTTTTTTTTTCGATATCATATTTTCTTATCATAAAGACTACGTGGCTTTCTGGTAAAATATATTGCTTAATATAGACCTGTTTGAAAGAGAACCTTCACTATATAGGACCTAGATATCTACTGCAAGAGCTCCATGCTCTACGTTATAGGAATCCGATAGGTCGTACTGTATTTGTTGTTTTTGTTAATGTTGTCGTTCATATTTGTCAGCCGAAAAAGGGGGTTTCTCATTCGAAGCTGTTGAAAATGTTTCATTGGTATTTTTTTTTTTACATGGCGGCTGCCGAACCCAGCTCACAACCCTGTGGAGGGAATGTTTTGCCTTCTCACTTTAGCTCGCATTGAAACGGATGTTCTTTTTCTACTAGGTCTAGGACCGGAAGTCGTGACCTGTTTCAGCCATATGTAAAATCGTTTCTGGCCACTTCCAAGTGAATAGCAATCAGAGAACTTTCCTCACTGGCGTAAACTTTTACAGAAGACTTCGTCATGGGATGAGTCTAATCAATATCACATATAAGGTTCTATCGAGCATATTGTGTGAAAGTATAAAGTCTACCGTTAACAAACTGATTGGACGTTATCAATCGGGCTTTAGGCCGGGAAAATCAACAACTAACCAGATATTCACCATGCGTCAAATCTTGGAAAAGACCCGTGAAAATCAATCATCATTTTATCAACATTTTATCAAGATTTTAAAGCTGTTTTTGACTGTTTGGTATCCACGAAAATCTTATATGGCTCTGTAAACTGGCGATCAATACCAAACGAAGTTTCACACAAGACGACTCCGTATCGTGCGATTTTTTTAATATGCTCTTGGAGAAAATAATTCGAACTGCAGAGCTAAATAGGGAAGGTACTATCTTCTATAAGAGTGTCATCAATAAAAAATAGTCGTCGCACTCGCAACTAGGATCCCACTTCATAACTTCGAAATTGTTGAAAGTTCCGTCCATCAACACCAACAATACTGTCAGTCTCGAAAACCAACGCAGAATAACTCTTGCCAATAGGTGTAGGCGATTGAGAACAAAAACCAAACTCTATCTTGCCTATGGTGCATAGGCATGGACGATGACAACATCTGATGAGTCCACGTTACGAGTTCAGCGAATTAAGAGACAGCAGCTACTCTGACTAGGTCAAAGGCTCCAGCTCTTAAATTATTCCGCAGTACCCGCCGGGGGAAGCAGTGGAAAAGAACTTGGTTTCGCTTGGAATCTCCAATTAGCATACATAGCAAAAGGGAGAAACGACTGGCGCGCTATTGTTAACACGGCTATAACCGCGGAGGCAGTGTCTAAACCAGTAAAGAATAAAGTACACCAGTAGTGACATCAGTAACAAAAAAAAAAGGTTACCAGACAAAGTAGCCAAAACCTATATATGGAATCATTCACCGTGAATACCAATCGAAGTGCTCTGGCTGCCAAAGGTGAAATACAGCGATCTAAAAATCAAATGTAGAAAAGCCTGTACAGAGAACAGTTTTTGCACTCGAGAAAATCGCCAAAGATCATGCTGCCGGCACCTTGGTTGACGCAAATAGTGGAGTACGAAATTTTCCTGAAAATGAAGGCATCGCAACTTCCTGCAGAAACTATAAGGCAGAGCGGTTAACAGAAGAGAAACCGTTCCCATAATGACTCGCTTGAAACCCTGCCAAAAATACAACAAGGCCTTTCAGTAGTATGGCCAAGGACAGACTTCCAGTACCCATCCTAGACGAGTCCCCCCCTACGTACGGCAAGTTCCCATTCTGTGTTTGCCTCTTCCGAAACCCTTAGGGGTTTGAGGGTAATCAAATGTCCAGAGCTCCTCGGACTTCTTCATGGGTAGCGTTGTTAAAATCAGCGACGCATTTGAAGGAATCAAACTGAAGCTCATACCCACTAAAGACATTCCAAAGAAAGGCGCCGGGCGAAAAACTCATCCGGTCCGGTCAAGTGCAACTTATGAAAGTGGAGAAACCATCTTATGGACAAGCTCTTGTACGAACATCAGAGGTGAGTCACTCTTACAATACTTTCTTAACAGCAATTAAAGGTTTCAATAGAGGCGATAAACCTGCATTCTTATTCCCAAATTCGGATAGGTTTTCAGGGAGGAAAAAAGTACTGGATCTCATACTATCGACGGAAACCGATAGCTTCATCGCTGATCACTGAAAGGTTCCTGAGGAGCTATCTATGCCTGACCACTCCTCGATACTCTTGAGCATTAGCGAGAAATCCAACACTTCTCTCCGATATCGAAATCCTGGAAGAACAGAGAAAATCCAAATTCGTGATCCACTCTACCGGGCATAAAGAAGGCCTGTGAAGTTATTGCCAATTATCAACTCCATCGTAGTTAACAAACGAAGGACTGCTTCAAGGGGTATTCTAGTCTAGAAGTTTGAAGAAATCTATTTTTTTTTTTCATTATTCGATAGTTTTGAAATTCAAAAATATCTCCCTAAAAGAATTTTTCAAAACTGAAATTATTTTCAAAATTATAGCCATTTTAGTGACGTGGAAACTAGACCGGTTTAGCGAACTATTTATCTATCTATTACGCTGCCCAAAACTTAACGTAAAACTTTAAATATCTCAAGTTTTAATCAGTCGATTCATTTGAAATTTAGCATAATATTCTTTAAATATATCTCTATCACTAGAAGCAACTAAAAAAAATTAAAATTTTAAATTTAAATTTGAGCCGAAGGTCCTGGCAGTCAGTGCTCCTTTTTTTCGTGTAAATAAAATAATTGTATTATTTTTTTTTTCACATTTATAAATAAATAAAAATAAATAAATTTAAATTTAAAAATATTAAAAAAATCGACAAAATTGAAAAATTTGTGAAAAAATCGAATCCCTTAAACAGGTCAGCTCGACTTGTCCATAACTTGAGTTCCCGGTCATACTAACATTTTTAAAAACCAAGCACTAAGTACATACATAGTACCAGGAAAAGTATATACCGGCTTACAGCTACCATATCGGGGACCTGGCTATTTGGAGAACGTGCATTAGAAATGGGAATGCTCCACTATAGCACCCGCCGTAGCTGAAAACTCGAAGGAGTCGCGAAAACGGTTCTTCTCTTCCTCTATGAGTTCCCAGCATTATCACAAATCATACATCGAAGTTTTGGCATTCATCAGATACCAAAACTTGAACATATATCTACAAAAAGCATACCGGGATAAATGGTTTGATTAATGGAAAGTGATATCAAGATAAGGTCTTACGATAGAGTAAATATTATAATCAAACCAGTGCTAATTAGGCCCGAAAGGCAGCATACCATATTGGCAGATAGTCAATTGAAGATGGGGAAAAGGAGCATGAGAAATTCACTTTTCGGATAGAAAATTGAGCGGAACCGAAATCCTACTTCAGTAAATGCTTTAATAATAATACGCGGCTCTAAAGATGAAATTAGCATGACTTTATTCTTCGAAACTATCTTCAGTTATTGGAACAGTGGATAAACACAACAGCAAAATGTTTATTACAAAAATACATAAAGTATTAAAATGTTATTAAACAGTTTTGCATTTAAGAAATTTATTTTAAACTTGAAAAAAATCGTGCATTTACAAATTTATATTTCTAAGTGTACAATTTTTTGCCTTATAATAAACTACTTATAAACTACTATCTTATGTATGTATGTGCGTGTGTTTACCTGAGAATGTGAATGAACACCGCATGGGCTGGCAGAATCAGCAGAATATTCTTTAGACATCTCTCCACAATTCCTAAGAAATATAATATATATAAGTATGGTCATGTTTATTGTTATATGTGTCTATATCATCCGGATCCATATCCTTATTATTATTATTAATTAAAATAAACTTAATAATTTCATTACTACTTAATATATTTCGTAATTTTATAATGCGATACAACTAATAAGAGAGCTAGAGACGTACATACCTAATTATGTACCTAAGCAGCTACTTTATTAGGAGCGTGTTGAGTTAGATTTCCACCTATTATTATGAAGAATGTGCTTCACTCAATTAATTATCATTTTACTATATCACCCTTTTGCTACACACCATTACTACATATCGTCACCTGAAATGCAAAATAACGTAACAACATTTTCGGAAATTTACAGTGGCATGAGTGAAAAACGAAATAAAATGGAACATGAGTGAACAAAATTTTAATATTGGTTAAAACTGGTTTATATCTGACCACAGACCCTGAAAATGTTGAACATATGTAACATTATGTATGTAATTTGAAGTAGTCAAGCGTTATCAATAAGACACTCAATTTCGAATTTTTTGATGATACGTTATTTTGCATTTCAGGTGACGATAAGAAAATCAAGTGAATTAAGAAATGAAATGAGAAATTTAGTTTTAAATTTATATAAAGACGGAAAATCTCTTCGAGAAATGGGAAAAGTTACGAAACGGAGCTGCTCCACTATTCAATCTTTTATTAAAATATACAAATAAAGTGGAAAATTCAATAAAAAAAAAGGTCAGAAATCAAAACAGATGCATAAATATGGAGGGAGGCAAATACTAGCTTCTATAAACAAAACCTTATGCCCATATTTAAACACGGTGTATCATCCGTGATGGTTTGGGGATGTTTCAGTGCTTCGGTAGTAGGAAATTTGCACTTTGTTAATGGGTTCATGATTGCTAAGAAGGACATAGACATACTAAAACGAAATCTACACCAAAGTGCCGAAAAATTGGGTTTGGGAAGTCGCTTCATCTTCCAGCGGGATAATGACTCCAAATATACGGCATTAGATACAAGGCTTTGGATATTATATAACTGTCCAAAAGACCTGAAAACGCCACCTCAGAGCCCTGACATAAACCCAATTGAGAACTTATGGTCTATCTTGAAACATTCGTTAAACAATTATAGCATTAGAAATATTCAGGACCATAAACAAGCTTTACGAAAAGAATGGGAAAAAATATGTCCAAAACTTACCAAAAAATTGGTGAAATCGATGTCACGACGCTTATATTCTGTTTTAAAACAAAAAGGTTATCCAACCAAATATTAATTTTTACGTAACATTAATTTATTTTGTACTTTAAACAGTGTACGAATATGAACTTCGCCTTATAGAAAATGTTAAGTTTGCTTAAAAATGTGAAATTTTTTCAGAAAAATTAATTTATTTAATAAAATTAAATATATATACGTATATACTTAAAATAACATACAACTTTTTTTATAATTAATTGACAATATTTTTTTTGTGCAAAATTGCGTGGTGTGCGAATATGGATTTTGCTACTGTATATTCAAAATAATAAGTAAATAATATTCCCATTCAATAATGAACAGATTCCAATTATATGGATTATGAAAAAAATACATATCATTTAATTGTACATTAGCAAAAAATTGTTAAAATACCGCATTGTTTCTGAAAATTATAGCAAATCTTGTTACGCATGAACATATAAAAACGGAACTGATGTTTAGTGGAGGATAAAGCCATGTGTAGAAATTCACGCAAGTGAGGAAAGTTCTCTGATCGCCATTCACTTGGGAGTGGTCAGAAACGATTATTTAAATATGGTTCAAGCAGCTCACGACTTCCGGTCTTTGACCAAGTATCCTCTGCATAGCCTAAGAACATCCCGCGAATGACAAGGATTGAGGCGAGTAGGTCCTTGTGGCATTTACTACACCGCCCATATAAAGGAACGAAAGTTTGGTGTGGGATTCGTGGTGGGAGAGAAACTCCGTCGCCGAGTACTATAATTCACTCCAGTGGATGAACGTCTAGCCACAATYCGCATCAAAGCGACGTACTCAACATATCGCTTATTTGCGATCACGGCCTGACGGAAGGGAAGGACGATGCGACCAAAAATGCCTTCTATGAGCGCTTATAGCGCATCTATGAGGGCTACCCCCGCCACGATGTCAAAAGTGGGAGGCAAAGAGATCGCGATCGTTATGATACAAAAGGCTTTTGCGACTGCGCAACTACCGAAGCTGGCCCTGCGTTGGCCAAGCATCCGCGAGGCCCAGCAATCTAGTAGTAGAGCACAAGAGAATGCAGAAGCACTTACCCGTTCCCATTTTACCGATAACACAGCCCGACAAAATTAAAAGCTTCTTTGAATTTATCAACTGATTCTTGTTAATTTGGGCACGCTGAATTAAAATCTGTAATCAGTTTGTCTTTTTTATACCCTCCACTTAACTTATGACCTAAAAAAAAAATGCAAAAAAAATTTCGCATTAAAAATTTATTAACTGAGTCTTTGGCGCGCTGAATTCAAATTTGTAATCAGGTTGTCTCTATCAGCTCTAGTTTTCATAATATAGCTTTCTTTTGTTCTTCCTCTTTCCATTTGTTCCTTTTTTTAAGTTCTGTTTACTTTGGAACGCACCTTGTAGGTCGATTATTGTAAATAAAAAAAAAACCAAATTTAAGACTACTCAGGGAAAATTCAGAAAAAAAAATTTCAAGGGTTCATTTCGAATTAGTGAATTGTAAAATTTCAGGGATTCGTTGGCTGCTAATTATTATATACTAGGGAGATTATCTTGCTCTTGCAAGATTCCACGATTACATAAAATGCAAAAATCCTGTACCGAAATATGCAAGGTCATAAGAGCACCCATTGCAGAATCTAGAGATATATGAACAGCTGATTCGGTCAATTTATTATGACTGATTATTGTGAATTGGCGCACCTCTGTTTACGAAGGAATTCGTAGTGTAGCTCGATAATCGAATCAACTCTCAACATAACCTTGATATTTGACCTGCTTTGACGTGTTTTTTTTCGGATTCGGCTCATCTTTGCTACGATATTCGGCCAATTGATCATCTGTTTCCGGTCGTAAGCATAGATCTAAGACGCATCGCCAGTAATAATATGTTGTATGACATCCTGATAGTCGGAAAGCATTGTTTCACGGGCGTTAACGCAACGCTATTTTTCGAAAACATTTTGTGATTTTGGAATTATCTGTCAATATCAGATTTCTGACTGTTAATCGTCTAATCAATTCTTACCACATAAAAATGCAAAAAGAAAAATTAAATGTTTTCCTATTCTTAATTTAAAATGAAGTGTATATGTGTGAATAATCTGTGACGTCAATTTTAAAATGCTTTTAATTTTCAATATTTTAGACTAAATAGTAAAAAAAAATAGTTGGTTATTTCAATTGAATAGATCCCAACAATAATCATTAAATTGACACATCCTTTCCTGTTTTGGTAATTACAGTTCTTATGTTATTATAACTATTCACGGTATTGTGGAATCTGATAGTTGTCGGTAAAAAAAAAGTAGTAGGTGTCATGAATTCAGATATTATTGGTTTAATATTGAAAACAAAATTTGTATCGGTTTTGGGTGTCACGCAAATTTAATATAAAAAATATTTTATTATTTCGAATTAATTTATCTTTATTTCTATAGGGGAACACATAAGTATAAAACACGAAATGTCTTAATTATTGAGGTTATGGAAAAAAAAGTCCGGATATTTAAAGATAGTACATTTACAAAATGTAATTTAACACCCAAATGAGTCTTAATCTCTTAAAATCTTTCCTTAATTCGGAACTCTTAAAAAACTTGAATAGGATTGCTGCCAGAATGTTCGAAAAGACGAAAATCCAAAAAGATTCTGTGACACCATTGAAAATCATAATTGGTTTGCCATTCTGACAGCTAAGCAATTCTGTATTGGATTCCATATCACCCCTGATAATATTCCATTACAACTCACAGTCATAGGAAAAAGTTGCGACAACTTTGTAATCACATATTTACTCGGTTCATTGTCATAGTCTTTGAAATATGCTTGTGTTATTTTATCCTTGTAACAACTCAAACTATAATGTACTTGTAAGTATTAAATAATAATTAGCATAGTTTCAAAGATTTCATAACAGTTTTGCATTAAAAAAATTTATTTTAAACTTCAAAGATCTCTCAATTTTAAGCGGCCCGCTTAAGGGTATAAGAAGCAAAATTTTCCTTTTCTTAGCTTTAAATGAAGTGTATCAAATAATCTGTGACTTAATTTAAAAAGGGTTTTTAATTGCCAATATTTTTGACAAATTTGAACATTCTTCCCTGTTTTGACAATTACCGTTCTAATATCATCAGAAACGCCCAATACTTTTCCATTTTTACAAGTAAAAGAAAGGACATAATTGTCATCTAAATGACGAGAAAATGAAGGGTTCTGATTCAATAATGAATTTCAAGTGCTACGATTAAATAAATAATTAAGCTGACCCTCAGAGGAGACTCAAAATGAGAAGAAAATAGCGGCTCTTTGGAATGATATTTCGAGGTTTGACCACTTCAAAATCCACTCAAAGACCAGAAGTAACTTCAATACCTCATATAGTATATAGAAATATTTTGAGTTATAAAAAAATTATTATGCATTTTAGCAAAAAAATGCAAAAAAAAAAAAAAAGCAAAGCAACCTAAACCTTCAATAATATCAAAAATGACCTTCAATAATACCCCAACAACTAATATCAATTATAGCGTCATTGAACTTACCAAACTGGTTTGGTAGCACCAGGTTCACCGCAACCATACACTAGCATATGATGTGCCGTATTCATTGTTGCATTTGGTTCATAGCCAACTGAAATAAATTAAATTAAAACAATATTATGTATTATGTATATAACAACTTAGAACTTATATAAGTAAATAGAAATTTATTAAAAGCTAATTATGAAACTTTTTTACATTGAAATAAACATGAACATAAAATGGACAATATTCATACACATATAACTGTTTTTTTCCATAAGAACGCTATAAAAGCTTTTTTAAATAAACCAAAAATGGTCTGGGATATCAATGAAATTCGTTATTCCTGTGAAAGTACATTTGATGCTATTATGTAGGGAACTCGATTTCTTTTGCATGGCCATCACGACCACGCTTGTAGAAATCCAGACGCTGAACCCTATATTCGACGATTTTCAATCATAAATCGGCCGGAACTGTTGTAATTTCACGTTCCATATTCGCACGAAGTTCATCAGAAGTCCCTGGATATACCATAGACTTGACGTAGGCCTACAGGTAATAGTGTAACGGTACCAAATCGCACGACTTAGGCGGTCAATTCACTAGGCCATTTCATGAGATTACACGTGCACCAAACTTGGTTTTCCATAAATCGATTTCGACGTTCGGTGTGTGGCGCCGTCCTGTTGGAACCACATATCGTCCAAGTCCATATTCACAGAAATGTGATAGTCTTGATCTTCACAGAAGAAGTACATCCCAATGAGGCCGCCGGGTCATAAACCTCGAGGAAATCCTTCAAATTCAATCTGCGCATAAATTGCTAACTTCAGTAACCACACTCCATCGCAAATCCATATTTCGACTGTCAAACGCTTAACGCATTTGATTTCCGAACTTTTTGTCTTAAGATTTGCCTTAATTCTTTACTCCGCATCTTTTTTGTTGGTTGCGCTGCATTACGAGTATGACATTATGAAGTTGATAACCGATTTTCGACACAACGTGTGCACAACAAGCCGTTATAACATTGCATAATGTAGACCAAAGGTTTATGCGCACTGCAACAAAATTGCATAATAGCAAAAACAATAACAACAATAATAAGAACAAGTACGCAGGCAACAACCCATATCCATTGATTAAACGTATCTATAATACACACTATATGTAATATACAACACCTACAACAGCTTTTTGAGTATGCACCTACAAACAAATAAATATATGGTATATTAACTCAAGCTTAGTTTTTCTTGTATATTTCATCACAATCACATATGTATGTATATAAATGCGTACAATATAAATTGGATAATCAGTTATAAATGGGTAGCACACACACCACGCAGCCGCCTGAACACCCGCTATGCGCCTTCACATTAGCAAGCACAAAAACAAGAGAAAATCAATTGAGCAAGGGCTACGAGTTCGAGTGCAACCGAACATTTTATACTTTTGCAACTTGCAAGAATCAAATACTTAGGTTTAAAACTAATCGTATAGAGTAATGTCGGACGTATGTTCGAAAATCCTGATATAATTTATACAAGGGCTAAGCAAAGTTTCGCTCAGAAGTGTTTATTTTTGGCACAAATATACACTTTATTGATATACTATGTGGTACAAAGTCACCCGGATGTTCGAAAATCGTTATTTAAGTATATAGAGGCTAAGGAAAGTATTGGTCCTATTCAAACCATTTTTGACATTAGGTAATACCATTACAAGAGAAGGATTAATCCCTAAAGTCAACTATAGGTACCCGAGTCTAAATATTCAGTTGCTAGGGGTTTGAAAAGTTTTTATTGGATTTAAACAATTATTGGTCATAAAGTGGTACACACTAAAGACATTATTTATGCAAAGTTTTATCCCGTTATATTAATTGTTTCTTGACTTATGTACTGAAAAATTAACAAATGAAGTGAAATTTAAAATTGTGCGAGTAAATATTGTTACAAATTGTAAGTAGTAGGCGTGGTTGTTGCCCGATTTCGTCCATTTTCACAATTGATATGCGAATCTAAAAAGAATGGCATGTTCTATATTCTGCCGAAATCGGTTAGCCGAATCTCGAGATATGGGATTTCACCAAAAACTGGGGGGTGCCACGCCCATCGTCCAATTTTCACACCGGTTCCCATAAAGCTCTCTTATGCCATCTCGGTGGTAAAACTTAATGTCTCTGGCATATTTAGTGATTGATTTATCGCACTTATAGTAGTTTTTAACAGTACCGTTATATTGGTATGCTGGGTTATCGTAGAAAATATAGTTGCTGTAGCTTAATTTGTTTTGGAGACATGTACACTAAGCTTGTTAGAGGGCGGCACCACGCCCCATTTTTCAAAACATTTTGCTCCTATGCCCCTTGCCACTGCACCCTCTGTACCAAACTACAGTTTTATATCTTGATTATGTGCTTAGTTATGGGCATTTATATATTTCCCGTTAATGGCGATTAGTGGGAGTGCCAGTGGTCCAATTATGCCTATCTACAAACTCGAAATTTTCTTTGTGCTAAGGAATATATGTACGTACCAAGTTTTATCGAGATATCTGAAAATTTACTCAAGTTACAGCTTGCTTGATTTATAGCGATTTATTCATTACCGCTTCAGAAAGACTTCGCCCAGTACTGTTGAAGACTACTGCAATATCTAGCTTTCTGATCTTCGAAAAGAGATTGCTACACAATAGACTCGCAATAAGCTCTTAGGAATAGAATTGCGCTCACGAATACGGATCAAATTTAAAAAACATGAGTAAGGCGTGAGTAATACTAAAAGATCATTAGGGTCTGTAACTCAAAGAAAAATTAAATATGTATTCTATTGTAGCTATCACTTAGGCTTAGTTCTATACGAAGTATTTGGAAGCACTAAACCTAACTAAAAAGGAAGTAAGAAAGGACTAAGTTCGGTTGCGAACGAACGTTAGTATTCTTCCACGAATCAAAGCTAGAGAGATACTCGTAAAATCATCCATAGGTCAAGTTTTCGCTCAAATTTATCTACTTTAGACACAAAGATAAAATATTATGAGTAAAACATCTTTCTTATTTTCATTGATATAACTGAAACATTGGCCGATATATGCGCAACAAAGTCACCCGGAAGTTCGAAAATCTTTATACTTGTATTAAGTATATGGGGGTTAAGAGAAGTATTGGTCCGATTCAACCCATTTTTGGCAACTGGCATACCATTATGAAGGAGACCAGATGCATATCCCGTGATATAAATATTTCGTCAATATTATTTTTTGTTGGTAAAGTTATTGAAGGTTGAAATTTAGAGCATGATAAAATTGTTAAATTATTTTCTCATAAACTACTGGAGATGAATCGATAAAGTTTTGTGAAGGCAAAGAAAAATAGTCGTGCTATATTATAAATACGAGGGCTGCTATATATGTATGTTTCTGGCCTAATAATGAAAATAGGAATATTTATCAACGAAAATGGTTATATTGTTTTTCAAAATATTCACCATCAAGATTTATACCCTTTTGCATGCGCTCAAACCAATTTTCGAAGCACTTTTTCCACTCCGATTGATACATCTCCAAAACATGGCTTTTGAATGCTTTAACAGCATCTTCTGGCGACGAAAATCGTTGACCACGCATTATTTTCTTGATGTGTGGGAATAAAAAGAAGTCATTAGGTGCCAAGTCAGGGCTGTATGGCGGATGACCCATCAATTCGACGTTTTGGCCGGTCAAAAAGGCGCTAGTTTGAGCCGATGTGTGAGAGCTCGCATTGTCATGGTGCACAATGATTCGTGTTCTCTTGGTCGTTTTTTCGAATTTCTCCGAAGACTTCAGGCAAACAAATGGTGGTGTACCACTCAGAATTGACCGTCCTACGTTGCTCAAGCGGAACAGTCGCCACATGACCAGTTTTGTCGAAGAAACAGGCGACCATTTGCTTCGAAGTGGTTCTTCCACGAACAACTTTCGTTGGATTTGGCTCGTCTTGGAAGACCCACACGGTCGATTGCTGTTTTGTTTCGGGCTCATACGCATAGATCCATGATTCGTCACATGTGGCGATCTTATAAATGCCTTTTGAAGCACCGCGATCGTATTTTTTCAGCATTTCTTTACACCAATACACACGAGCCTTTTTTTTGGGTGAAAAAACCCAATTTTTTTTTTTTTTTTTTTTTTTTTTTTTTTTTTTTTTTTTTTTTTTTTTTTTTTTTTTTTTTTTTTTTTTTTTTTTTTTTTTTTTTGCCGTTCCCACGACAGTCGGATCTACGGAAACCGGAACGGACCCGGATTTTTATCCGGCCAAGGACTGTCAACTCGGCAGAACTCTGCCGTTACAACAACAACAACAGCCTTTTTTTTGAGTGATTGTCAAATTGTGCAGGATCCAACAAAAACAAAACTTTTTTACGGCCAGGTGTTCATGCAATATCGAATGTAAGCTGGTGGGAGAAATGCATAGGCATGCCTCTATCTGAAGGTATGTYACATGACGGTCTTGCATTATCAGTTCACGTACGGCATCGATGTTTTCTGGCACAACGGTTGTTTTTGGACGACCTTCACGGAATTCGTCTTTGAGCGAGCGTCGGCCACGATTGAATTCGTTGTACCAGTTTTTCTCAGTGCTATAGGATGGTGCTTCATAGCCATACAAAGATTTTAGTTCATCAATACACTCTTGTCGTGATAATCCATGTCCAAAGTTGTGAAAAATGATCGCACGAAAATGTTCACGAGTTAATTCCATTTTTTGGCCGAAATGAATTTTTTAATTCCCTGTAAATAAAACAATTCACGATTAAATGACAAAACGTTCTGAGTGATTAGCATAACATCAAAAATGTCAAACTTTCCAATGGAAATGTCAGATTACACCTGGGAACACTTAGTGTTGCCTAGGCCAGAAATATATTTAGCAGCCTCCGTATGTTTTGTTTAAATAATAATATTTAACATACTTTTTTTCAAACAATTGAAATTTTTAAAGTGTTCTACACGCTAAAAAAAAAAATTGAAAAGAATGTGACACAACTCGGAAAATGTGCACCTTTAATAATCTGCAAAAAAAAAAGTTGTTCATTCATACCATTCCAAAGATATTGATTT